TAGGAGAAGGCCGCAGTGTGTCTGCTAGATACATCTATCGGGGATAAACGAAGGCCGCAGTGCGTCGTTTATTCGCACGCACGTATAGGTGAACCCACGATCTACTTTTCATCACACGCGTGCGACGCATGGAGGGCGTGCGACGCAAGGCGGTGGTCTTGGGGCGATGACTTGGACTTCAAGTTATTCTTGGAGTGCAAGTCAAGACAATTAGTTATTTGGTAGCTTTAGGATTTTATTGCTTTCTAGAGTTAGGATTTATTTTATTGCATAGAATAGGAGATCTAGATCTATTAGGCTTAGAGGTAGTTGGTATCTATAAATACCCCATGTACCTCATCATATTTTACAAGTTGAATTGACTATTGAATTGGTTAAATTGAGGGGAACTTTATGTTCTAACATGTGATAAACAAGGCCATTAGTGCGTGTTTACATACAGTGTCGGAGAGAAGGCCCTGAGAGCGTCTCGAAGTCGCAGTGTCTAGAAGAAGGCCCTGAGTGCATCTGCTAGATACACCTATCGTGGATAAACGAAGGCCCCGAGTGCACCGTTTATTCACAACCCACGTATAAATAACAACACCGATCAGCGGTCCTTCATCATTGGTGCTTTCATTGAGAGGTGCTGATCGTGTTTTTATTTATCCTATCTTTTTCTTTTTTTTCGGTTTGCCTTTTGCTGAGGGGCCGAATTTCCCTTTATTTTTTGGTTTTTGGGGTTCGAATATTTTTTCGAATTTTCCCTTATTTTTTCTGAAATCGAGTCTTAAAAAAAAAAGTGTCATCTTGTTAGTCCTTTGTTTGATTTTTGTTCGGTTATTACCTTTTGTTGAGGGGCCGAATTTCTCTTTTGTTTTTTGAATTTTTTTTTTGGTTCGAATTATTTTCGAATTTATAGAGTCAAAAAAAAGAGAGAATCATGATGTTTGAGCCATTAGTTGAGTGGGATCAAGAAGATCTCGAATATTTGGAAGGTTTGGAGAGGGAATTAACCCCTTGGGAGCAAGAGTATTTGGAGGAGATGTACGAGCAAAAGGAGGAGTATAAAAGACAACTCAAGATCATGGAGGAAGAGATCTTGCTCGTGTTCGAAGAGGGCCTTGGCGAGGAGACGTGCGTGGTGGACGAAGAGGGTAAAGCGGCGCACATCGACGGCGAGGCCGAAGGAGTCGAAGGGGCCGAGGTCATTGGTGCGGTCTTGGTCGTGGGTGATGGGTGCAAAACATGCGCGCGGGAACAGCGCGCGCAACACATCGAGGTCGTGGCTGGAGGACCCGAAGTGCTCGTAGTCGGAGAGGAGATGTTCGTAGTCGAGGTGTTGGTCGAGGTCGACGAGGACCGTGAGTTGGATGTGCGCATGGTCGAAGAAAGAGTGCCCGAGTTTTGGATGGTCGAGGATGAGTCCTTGAGGACAAGGACATTCTCAAAGGGGGCGGGAATGATGCGGAAGTGGGTTCCGAGCCCCGACGACAAGAAAGACCAAGAGTCGAGACGACCCAAGGAGGCTGAAAATAGGGGCAAAACTGTTGGTGTTATATACTTAAGTTGTGCTTTAGTGGATATTGCACTTGTTATTCCTTGATGAATGAGAATTATGTTTGG